AGCAAAGGCATGTGGGACCCGGGGCTAAGATCTCCAAGCCTGCTCGGATCAGGGCTGAGCATCCTCCACCCAGATCCTACAAATTCCAGTAGGCAGGGGTCACACCCACCAACTGGCCCCCTGGCACCGTGTAATCCCATCATCAATGGCCAAGGCTCAGAGACTATAAAACCCAGCTCCCGGAAGCATCTTATTATCTCATTCTTACTTTGGACAAACTGGCAGGCTACCAAATGTAACCTGCCCACATGGCAGAGTCTGGCAAACTCCCCGTGGCGTACCCAATATGCCAAATACCAGTAACAATGATGGGTCTCATTCTCCTAATCCTGAAAGAGCCTTGAATATGGCCCTTTTTAAAAAATCTCAGGGCTAGGATGAAGGAGATGTTACAGGGGCCTGCTTGAGGCAATCGACGAACAACAGGATGGTCGTGATCGTGACAGACCAGATGTAGTCCGTTAAGGACTGCAATATCACAAACCGCGTTTCTTATTTCATAGATGATCTCTTAACAATCCACAGCATGAAAGTCTCCAAAGACTAAAGTTCTAGCTTGCAAAAGGATGTTATATTTTTCCAACAATGAATTAATGTTTCATTTGTATTAAATGCTCTATGTCTATTCAGGTGATTTTGCTACATCTATAGAAAATTTTATTGTGCACTATTACTAATATAGATATTTAAGCGTCATCAAAAATACAGTATTTTCTAAAAATTTCTTTCTTCAGATAAAACCCTCATTTATACTTTTACAGGCCTATTCAGATTTTCTCTTAATTTTTCTAAATTCTCTTCACTCTTACTAAACTGCAAACTTGTAGGATATATCTATTTCATGTTATTTTAAAAATGTATCAGCATAGAATTAATCATACTGTCTTAAATGTATATACCTACAAAAAAAAAAAGAAAAATATCAGTTTTTTTAAGTTTTTTTTTTTTTTTTTTGCTTTTTGGGCCACACCTGGCAATGCTCCTGGCTCTGCCCTCAGGAATTACTCCTGGCGGTGCTCGGGGGACCATACGGGATGCTGGGAATCGAACCGGGTTGGCTGCGTGCAAGGCAAACGCCCTTCCCGCTGTGCTATCGCTCCAGCCCCTTAAGTTCTTCTTTATCAACTTACTGATTTATATTTTGTGGAATTTCAATTTAGTTTTATTCATCTACATGTGCATTTACCACCTCCACAATATAAACTAGAAACATGACTGTAACACCAAACAGCGCGGTGTTAGTTACAATTTTTTTTTTAGACACAAGCTTAATGCTATAATTTAAGGTCCAAAGAAGGCAAAAAGCTGTCCTATGAACACATCAATGCCTGTTAAATAACAATACAGCCGGATGAATTAATGAATGCTAATGGTAAGGCTTAAAGATCTGATCTTGGGGCAGGAGTGATAGCACAGTGGGTAGGGCGTTTGCCTTGCAGGCAGCTGACCCAGGTTTGATTCCCAGCATCCCATATGGTCCCACAGGCACCGCCAGGAGTCATTCCTGAGTGCTGAGCAAGGAGTAACCCCTGAACATCCCCGGGTGTGACCCAAAAAAAAAAAATCTGATCTTTCTAAGGTAAGAGGACATAAAGGACTGACTATTCAAAAAGGGAATAAGCATACTACCATAATTTCAACATAAAACTCATCTTATATGTAATTTAGACCACTTGAAATTACCAATCTTTCATTGTTTTATCTTAGAAAAAAGACAATCTCATATTTTTAATTAGTCCACTGTATTTAAATATATCATCATTAACTCTAGAATTTTATCTTTAAATTTTTTTAAAGTAAAAAAATTACTTACCAGGACCTATCAAGAGACTGGGGCCACAAAGCATGCCCATCATAAACTATTACATCAGAAATCATGTATTTTCCAAGGCATTAATTATTACAGTAAATCTTCATTACAACTCAAAAGCACCAAATCTCAGGAAGCTATGAGCATAACACCTCAAATTAAAAGTACTGCTTAAAATTAAAAGTACATTAATTTACACAGAAACTGTCCTTATGCAATTTTTTGTACTGAAGATGCTTAAAACGCCAGAATCCATGATATCTACCATGTCAAAATACCACCGGCAGTTTCAAAATTTATTTAAAAGCTAAGCTGAATCTGATTTATTCAAACTTCTATTTATAGTTCTGACTAGATTGAGCCACATTCTGACTAGCCCTGGAGACCTGGAGCCCACGTCTACTTAGGAATTCAGAACGTCACCACATATGTTGTTGGAACTCTTCATGTGTAATATCCCAATTTAAAAACTGCATTTATTATTCGCTGTAAAGTTCAGAAAATATTAGCATCAAAGACCTTATGAGAATATTGTGAAGATAAGAAAGAGCATACTTTTCATAAATAAAATTTTGTCTGCTGATGTTGTTTGGGGGCTCTACAGAGAGGTGCCAAGGGACTATGTGACATCAGGGATGAAACTTAGGCCTCCGGGGTACTGAGTCCAGTATAGCAGGTAGGGTGCTTATTATGCACAGGGTGGACCAGGGTATAATCCCCAGCACCATGTTTCCCTGACCCAGAGTGCAGAGCCAAAAAGAAATCCTGAGCATTGCTGGGTGTGGCCTCAAAATAAAAACAAACTAAAATCCCTCAGGCTTCCTGCAAGCCAGGTATGCCTTCTGGCCCTATGAGTTCTCTTCCAGGCTCAGATAAATTTTTAACTCAGACCCCAGCCCCAGACGTCTCCTAAACCAAATGTTCTTAAAATACCTCAAACCTGTAGGAATGGCCTACACCTACACACACACACACACACACACACACACACACAAATACACACACACAAATAAAAACAAGAATTGGTGAGGGAGTAAAAGGGAGTCTCATACTTTTGGTGACAATGTTTTCATTTCCCTCAACTAAAACTGAATCTAAGGGCTGGAGCGATAGGGGTAGGGCATTTGCCTTGCATGCGGCCGACCCAGGTTCTATTCCTCTGCCCCTCTCGGAGAGCCCAGCAAGCTACCGAGAGTATCCCGCCCTCATGGCAGGGCTTGGCAAGCTACCTGCGACATATTCAAAATGCCAAAAATAGTAACAAGTCTCACAATGGAGACATTACTGGCTCCTACTCGAACAATCGATAAACAACGGGAGGACAGTGCTACAGTGCTAAAACTGAATCTATCACATTAACCAGCAATCATACAGGATCCTAAATACCCATCTAAAGAATATAAAAACATTAATTTGAAAAGATACATGTAGGCCTATGTTCAGTGTCACACTATTTCCAACAGCCCAAACCTGGAAACAAGCCAAGTTTCCAAGAACAGATGAAAAGATTAAGGCGTAGCATATAAACTAATGGAACATTACTCAGCTATAGATTTTAAAAAGATAAAATCATGTCATTTGCAATGAGAACGGAGCAAGTACTGTTCCACAAGAGAAATATAAACAGTGGATAATTTCATTCATACGCAGAACCTAAAGAAACAAAGCAAAGCCACAGATAAAGCCAAACCAAAAGGAAGTCTTAGATGGATATCTTCACTGCAAAACTATTAGCAGAGCAGGTAGAGGACATAGAAACAGAGATTCAATGTAGTGGACCTGATTGGCATTATAGTGGTGGGTGTGGTATAACAAACATTTAGAAAGGAACAAACCCATTCTAAAACGTCACCCTGTTGCAAATCACTGTCACCTCAACTTTTAAGGGGAAGGAAAGAAGACATTCAACTCAATTCAATAAATCTTAAATACGCACTTACAAAAAATTTCTTGAAAGTACGAAGTACTACCATCACAATTCCTATTTCAGGGAAACGTCAATGGTCTGTTGACCAAAAATAAGCAAACACCAAAACCTTCCTTGGTCACAGAAAACTTACTGCCCACAGAAAAAAAATGGAAGAATTTTTGATTACCTATTATGGTCAAGATGTTTACCGTGAGAGTTTCACCTGGCAGAAAATTTTAAAAGTGAACCTTTCGTGCCAGCTATTACTTTAACAGCTTTTTGGTGAGATTTAGTCAATGGTAGAAGTTATCAGTATTTTTTACTTTTTACTTCATTGCACAATATGAAATATTTCATTCCCTAATATGCAACATTACACAGGGTGCAATGTCTCAGCCTAGTCTTAATTCTACCGAAATGCACTTAAATCAAAAGGAAATGAAGACACCAGGATCTTTCGATTCTGAAGACTTATTTTCCATCACATGGCTCGGTTGCCATTTGAAATAGAGTCTTCCAAGTGTTGTTGCCAATGCTCTCTGGGCGTTTTCCTTTGTTGTTTGGGGGGCGAATACTGTGTTGCACAGGATTAAATGGATAAAAGGGAAGAGAGGAAAAAGTGGAAGAATTGAGAACAAAGCAGAACACTGGAGTCATGGTTACAGCACGAAAAGGATAAAGGAAAAAGAAAAAGGAAGCAAATCTGGCTCTTCCTTAAGAGTGGCCATGAATAAACCATTTAAATCCATTGTCCTGCCTGCTTCTAAAGCCGGCCGGGGGCACTTCCTCGGGAGATGCTCCTGGTACCCTCCGGACTGAAGATGCAGCAGAAATGGAAAATAAACGGTAACCCAGGGAAACCGGTCAAGGAAAGCACCAGCCGCCAGTGACTGGACAGACACCTCCGGGAGGGGGACGCAGCAGAGCTGGTCCTGGCGGGTGCGAGGCCCTAGAGCAGAATGGGAAGGAGTCCACTTTGCAAAGGCAATCCCCTCGGACCTGGGTTCGACAGTGGCCGCTACCGAGACGATACTCAGGAGCGGGGCGAGATCAGAGGCCGCGTGTCCAGGCGCTGGACCCTGCTCGGGGGCGGGAGAAGCGCGGCCAATGATGCAAGACACCTCGGGGACCTCCGGCTGCCCCCCGGCTCCCGGCCTGCGCTGGCGCGGCGGAGTCCGCCGATCGCCACCCGCTGTCGCCTCCCCGGCACCGGTGCGCAGGTGCCCCCAACTTCTCCGGGTCGCTTCGAGAGGCCCGACCCGCATCCCTCCACCTTCTCACCTTCCAGCCCCTCCATCGCGCCGCCGTCTCGGGCTGCTGGAGACTCGAGCAGCGCCCGCAGCCGCCGCCGCCGCCGCCGCCCAGCTCTGGCTGTAGCAACCCGACCGCACCTCCCACCCGCTAACATCCCGAGCTCCTATTGGTCCGGGCCGGGCGGGGGCGGGGCTCCTGGGGGCGGGGCCTCGGCGGGAGGAACCGCGCTCGGGGTTTGCAGCCTGGGCGTCCGGGCGCTCCCGCACCGCTTCCCGAAGCACCGAGATGCCTCTCATCCCGAGCATCCTTGCCAGCCCCCAGCAGCACGTAGCGCTTATCTCGCCTCCTTCCCCGAGATCTAGAATATTCCATTGCCCTCCTGCGCTCCTCCTCCTCCTCCTTGCCAGCCGCTCCCTCGCGTCTCTAAGGACGCGGAGCAAACAAGCAAATATCCACGTTTGGATGCTAACCAAGCTCCGTTTAACGCTCTGGGGTCATGGGACTTGACCGAAGTGTGTTTCCCAGACGTTAAAAGTCTCAACACCCAGCGCGTCTGGGCGCCCTTTTCCTGCAGAAGGAGTTCTGCCTATCTGCCGTGGCGCAACTGAGGTTGAAAACAATTTCTCAGCGCGGGGGTGGGACCAAGAGTCAGAAGTGAAACCCAACACTCTTCATCTTTATCTGCTCTAGGCCTTGCCCGGCTTTGCACTTGAACTAAAATAGTGAAATGCCTCTCTAACTTATGAGGTCATCTCAAAAGAATGTTTGATCAAGGAGTTTAAGGGGGTTGGCGCGCGCGTAGGGGCGGGGTGGGGACCCCCTGTAGGAACAAATTTACATAGAACAGAAGGAAGTTTGATTTATGTCTGTACAAACCTGGAGGTGAAGGTGACAGTAAAACTAGATAAAATTTATGCTTAAATAAACATACTCCCCGCAAAACTATTTTCCTAATTGATCTAGCCACTAGAGACAGATGCTGTTGTTAATGTTAGCGTCTCTCTTGACAGATTATCCATAGTAATGTGATTTCCATAGAAAACTTACATTCATTTTCTCATTCATTTATTCAGTTGCAAAGTTTTGGCATCCCCTCTAACGATGCCTACTATTAAAAGTCGTTATTTCACAACCCTTTTACCTTTTTTGGAGGCCAGATTCTGCCTGCTTGTATGGGAATACTACCATAAACTCCTGAGTGAGACATCATCTGTTCCTGCATTATTTCAATGCAATAATGCCCATCCCTTTCAAGGATTCTTCTAAAGGAAAACTTCAGTCATGCCTGTTAGGACTCCTTCCCTTCTTCTTTGTTCCGACCTGGCTCCTTACTGAGAGAAGCTGGCCCTAATTGGCCGGTTCACAGTCAGGCCTGTTCTTTAACCACCCTGGGTGCCTATGAACAGGTTCTTTTTCTTTGATGTGGCTGAAGCAAAGTCAGAGTTAGGGGAGTGAGGGTGTGGTAGACTTTTGAAAGAATGCTAATTGGGGTGGGGTGTCAGGAGGGGATGGGGGGAGTATACTAGAAAAAAAAAAGCAATAGCTTTACAAATTGTAAATTCTTGAATAGAAGTCAAGCCAAAGATTGACCTGGTTGACACTCAATGAATTGATCAGAAACCTATAATAATAAGGGGAATATTGATTATAATATAATCTTTTAATCATTTGGGGGGCCTGTTTTGGGTCTCTTTTATATACTCTCTGCACATACTGAACCCCCAAAACAATACTACAAAGCTGATGGTATAATTTTTCAGAATTAAAATCTCCATATTTTAGATGCCTAATGACATTTTTTTACCAATACTAAAACTACTAGTGAATAGGTAGCTTTGATTTAAATCTGAGTCCCTCTCTAAGAAAACTCTTTGCCTTCTTTCCAAACATCTCAAATATAAAGTCAAGCATTCAGAAATGTTTATGATATATTTGATTACACAGTCCTACTGTGAATCTTTTGTTTTGGCTTTTGGTGTTGTTTGGGGGGGGGTGCGGGTGTTGTTGTTTGGTCACACCAAGCGGTGCTCACCTGGCTCTGTGTTCAAGGATCACTCTTGGAGGGGCAAAGGGGACCCTATGGGGTGCCAGGGTTCAAACCTAGATCAGCTGGATGTAAGATAAGAGCCTACCCCAAAGTCCTAACTCTCCAATCCCAATACTATCATTATCATTATCACTATGACCTGGTTGTTCATCGATTTGCTCAAGCGGGCACCAGTAATGTCTCTATTCATCCCTGTCACATGCTAGTGTAGCCTGATGACATATTGGGGGCTCTTTCAGGGTCAGGGGAATAAGAACCATCATTGTTACTGTTTTTAGCATATCGAGTACACCATGGGTAGCTTGCCAGGCTTTGCCATGCGGGCGGGATACTTTCGGTAGCTTCCCCGGCTCTCTGAAAGGGATGTAATCACCTTTACAGGTGTTCTCAGTCAGGTATACATGCACGCAGGATACTCTTGGTAGCCTGCTGGGTTCTCTGAGAGTGAGAACTAAACAATCAGAGTTCCGCTTCCAGGAGCTTGGTTTTATAGTCTCTGGATCTTGGCCATTGATGGGGTTAAAAAGAAGTTGGTGGCTGTAACTATCTAGCTACTGGACGATGGGGGATCTGGGTGAAGGAGGCCCAGTTCAGAACCTAGCAGGCTTGGAGATCTCAGCCCCGGGTCCCGCACATCTAGATTCCTCTGCCGTTTCCTTCATGCATGAGGCTCAGCCTAGCATGTGGAGAGTGGTCTCAGCATGGCTGTGGCTGGGTCCTGGAGGTCTTCAGCTGCCAGGGCTTTGCTCAGGACAGAGAGGGAAACTCAACCCCGCCCCCCCCTCCAAAGGGCCCCGTTGAGGACAGCCAGGCATGAGGGCAGGAGACTCTGCATTGTTCTCTTCCCCAATACTATGAATGTTAATTCTCTGATATGTGCCTGCTAATCTGTTCTATAGAAAGAACTCATCACTTCTATGCTATGCTCTCCTGACCTTTGCAGCTTTTCCCATGCCCCATCCCTGGGTGAAGAGGATGACTGCTTCCTATCTGCTTTCTTCAGATCCTTCCTCTCCCTCCTATATTCCTGGCCTGAAATAAAATAAGCCAGGAAGAGTACACAAGAAGAATGTATTAAATGAATCCACCAGAAAAATGAAATAGATCAGAGGGCGGTAAAGTTAGAAGATCTTCCAACTTTTCTTCTCCCTGAAGTAAAGAAGACATTTTTCTGACTTGACTGCTCTCTGATCTATTCTATTTTTCTGATGGATTCATTTAATACTTTATTCTTGTGTACTCTTCTTGGACTATTTTATTACTTGACAGTAAGTAAACTGAAATGAAGGAGCTCCCTTTCTTGTGTAGCTAGACTCGTATGGCTGCCAAGGAATCTTTTTAGTTGATGGTAACATTCTTAGATGAGTATGAATTAGATGAATATAAATCATCTCACCTACTCATCATACAAAAAAAAGCAAAGGTTAAGAGTACAGTCTCAAGGCAGACTTCATAACTAGTAAGCAGGGGCTTTTTTGTTCTTTTTTTGGGGGGGGTCACATCTGGTGATGCTCAGGGGTTACTCTTGGCTCTGCACTCAGGAATTACTTCTGGAGTTTCTTGGGGGACCATATAGGATGCTAGGGATCAAACTCAAATTGGCCACTTGCAAGGCAAATGCCCTGCCCGTTGTACTATCACTCTGACCCCTAGTAAGTAGTTTTGAGTAGCTGAACTAGATATTTACCCTTGTACTGTTACATCATTTCTCTGATTCTTTCCAGTTTGTGTTGCTTTTCCTTCATCTACCATTCCTTGGAGTCAATTCACATCTTTTTTGCATATTCCAAAGGGCTAAGCAAGCGTTATATACTTTCTTTCAAGGTTCCAACCTCCTCTTAGATCTTACCCAAAAATCAATTTCCCTCTCACAGCAAACTTTAGCTCTCATTCATATCATTTGCAGAGCACAACAAAATAAGGCACCTGAATTTCACTAAGAATTCTATTCAATTTGCAGTTCTGTTTATATAAGTTTTCTTTTCTCCTAAAACTACAGAGGAATAACCAGTTCTAATTTAGTGTTTATAAATTGACACAAAATAAAAATAAGCATATTCCCTTTGAAGTAAGGAAAAGGGGAACAGGAAGATATTTCGAAGTGCAATAGAAGATGATTTTTTGTAAAGGCATAGGTTTTTTTCCCCAGCACTGTAAAAATTCCCTCACACCCCCAAAAATACACTCACATAAAAGTGGAAGAAGGAGTCTTGAACTTTTTAGAACTGTGTTCTAAATTGAGGAAATGCATTCTGGGTTGGCTCTTACAAGTTTTCTGTAACTAGGAGTAAAAATAAAAATCTCTAATTATTCAGGGTAAAATTAGTGAGAGTCCTAGAAATTAAAAAAGGAAGGAAGCTACAATAATCTCCATAATTGATTAGAGGACTATTTTATTCACATTTTAATAGCAATCATTTTAACTTTCTCTGCTAATCCCGAAAAGAACTTCTATTCTCCACTTTCAAATCTAATTCCCAGCTGCAAAAGGATATATGTTTCATTTTGTTTAGCTTTGCTTTTGGACCACAACTGGCAGTGCTCAGAGTTTACTCCTGGGTCTAGGCTCAGGAATCATTCCTGCATGGTTTGAAGGATCATATGGGGGTCAGGGATAGAACCCGAATCTGCTGCGTACAAGGCAAGTGCCCTGTCCACTGGACTATCTCTTTGGTTCCGTTTATAATTTCCTTTAGGATTTGTTCATCTGAGTTCTCATTCATGTTCTTATCACCTCTACATTATAAGGGTATTTTTTTGTTTTAAATTTTAAAGTGTTTTATTAGTACTTCCAAGCTTAATCCTAAGAAAACAAATGATCTAATTTTATTTTGTTGTTAATTTGTTTTGTTTTGTTTTTGTTTGGGGGCCACACACAGAAATGCTCAGGATTTACTCCTAGCTTTCCATTCAGGAATTAACTCCTGGTGGACCATTTGGGATGCTGGAGATTGAACCCATGTCCCTTGCCAAACGCTCTATTCCTGCATTATCGCTCCAATCCTGAAAACAGAAATAATTTATACATGGACTTGAAAGAGGA